TGCTGAAATAAGATGTGAGATTTCATGACAAGCTCAGGTTGTTTTTGTTTCCCATGCAGCTCTCATTTAACACAAAGAAGCTTATTTTCCATGTCATGGGGCCCTTGATCCTGCGCAATAAATACAGTATCTTCCCTGGAAGCATGAAGGCCCTGCTTTATAGGCTTGGCAATAGAGTATACATCAGCCTTGCTGGTTAATTCAAACAAGAATAGCAAATTCCTAAAACTTTGGCCAAATTACCATCTTTCTGGCTGCTTCAATGAGCTAATATTGTTGTGGAAACCTGGAAGCAGTCGTCAAGTCTTTGATGATTTATTTAGTAGGAGTCATCTAGTAGCTAACTGTCCGCAGTTTCTAACCTCATTTCTGAGCACTGCTGATTCTTCTTTCAGCATTTGCAGTTTTCTCCTTAAGCTTTCTTACATCTCTGTATGTAACATTTCCAGACAGGAGTTCAACTTTATCACAAATATGTTTATTAACTTGCCAAACCACATCCAAGATCTTCAGACTCAAAAGTCAAAGATAAAATCATCCTCAGAGGGCACCTCACCCTTCTCCACCCAGGCACATGAAAAAAACCCAGCTTTAGGCTCTAACATTTTACATTTATAATGAGTCACAGCCTAGGTTTATTGGTTTTCGGTTTTTGTTTGGTGTTGGAATTTTTACCTTTCCATTCTTCTCCTGGATTTTTCACCTTGGATCCATACCAAAAGAGAGAAAATACTGGTGAGCCATGTAAAAGAACGATCCACCTTTTTCGTCTGTACTGCAAATCTTACCATGGCTGTAGGGCTGGCCCCAGTGAAGGTCTTCGCAGAGATTTAGAGTTAACTAAAATGCTCAAGACATTTGATAGCTGTAACCTAGATGCTCCTGGGTAAGTTCAAAGAAGAATCGGATTCACTCTTGCGGCTCTGTTTCCACCAGGTTTAAGGATGGTCCTGATGCCTGTTAAGTGGTAAAAATGTAACAGTTCTGGTTAATCTCATGTGATTCTTCACGAGACAGAAAGTTCTTCCTGTTAATTTTCTGCATTCAGTTTTTCTGATGCATGACTCTGCAATTGTCACATGTCTGTTTTGGGGTGGCTTCTTGCCACGAATGGATGAAGGGCTCTTTATGCCTGGTTTCTGACTCCTAGTTGTATGTTCATGAAGAAGCCTGGGTCCCTTGGGAGACAGATGACTCTCTATTTGGGCAACATTATCCCCACCAACTACTATGATCTGAGCCTGTGGGAAGATACTTTTTAAAGAAAAAGTTTGATTTTGCTAATGTAGCCATTGTTTAAATGTCAAATACAATTAGAGTACCCACCCAGAGTGCATGTTGTGTAATTTCATAATACTCCGTCTAGATGAGTGTTGGCTTTCTACCTGCCTGCTTCACCACACCCAAGAATGCTGGTATTACACAATTACACACATCCTGTTGACTAATTACATAATAATTAGTGGTTTTAATATTCAAAGATGCACTCACATCGGTGATGCAAGATTTTATGTCACTGCAAACTGAATCCAAAACATAACAAATATACGAACAATGCTGTTCATACAGCTTACTAAGCACGGACTTAACTTCCAGCAGACAGCACAGAGTGCTTCGTACATTTTACACACATTTGGCAGAGCCTCTCTCCCCCACAGTTACTCTGGGTTCCACCTGCTTTATAAAGCTGTTCAAGTAATTCTGTATTCAAGTTAGAATTTCTATAGTCTGCCTACTTCTGAGTTATGATCGCTTATCATGACTAGAGTTAATATTTGGCGGAAAAAGCACTGTGACATGCCTGAGGAAGGAAGATTGCTCCTCACAATGGCAATTCTGGAAGGAATCTGGAATATGCAATTTAAAGTGAGCAATTACCTAAAAAAGTATCCCAAATACTGGTGTTTCAAAGTGTACTGATGAGCCTAAGCCCCTTGGATTTGGAACAGATTTTCCACAAGTTCAGTTGGAGTGTCTTGATCATGATCTGGGCTCTTGGTTCTCACAATAGACATGAGAGGCCAGATGCAAAGTCTTGCTCACCATTTGGATGTGGAGTCTTTAAGATCACACGCTTCTTGTTGCAACCATGTCTTACTTCTAAACTTGTTCATTTGAATTTAGTCACAATCCACAGAAGGTGGCACAGAGGCCAAGCCCTGAATCTTGCCCAGGGCATAGTTTTATGCTGCTGTGTACCAAGTGGATCATACATGATGCTTCAATAGCGTTTCTGACCTGCTACTGTTAGTTCCTCTGGAATCCCCAGCTGTACATATAGCCCTTTACGATGGAAAAGATGGACTGTGTCCTCACCTCCAGCCATCTGTTTGCTGGGCAACAGTAAAGAGCAACAAACATTTTGCACATAACTTCATTGTTTTGTTTTCTTCTTCATGAATTTGATTTTTAACTTTTCAGGCACTGTGGCAGCAAATGATTTTTCAAGGCCATAAAGGAAGAACAGATCACTGCCCAGGAGTTTCTTACTGCACTGTTTCTCTTTTCATGGCACAAGAGGTTATAGTGCAAGACCACCTTTTTCACTGAAGGGTAACTTTCTGCTGCCCTGGTAAATTAAAAATTGGCATTTCAATCTAAATATTTGCCCCTGACAGGTTCTTAGTAAACCAATACCTCTATGAAAGCAAATCCAGGCTGTTTGGAAGGAGCAGGATGCAAGACTGCTGAAGTAAACATTACTGTTCAGGTTCAGGGACACATGCAAGGTAGCTTCACAACTCCCCAAAACCTCAGCAATCCCCTTTTCCTACCCCAAACACCAGCAGTAAAGTCAGCACAGTAGTGCACTTCTCTGCATCAGGAAGACACTTAAAGAGAGGCCAGGGTTTTGAATTTGCAATGGGGGTTTCTGTTACTTCTAAGGGCTCTTATTTTCACTGCTTTCTTACCTGGTGTGCTTCTCCCATGACTGGCAGAGAAGCAGTTTCTGAGGGACAGGGGATCCATCCTTGTGGGTATACCTTGTGTGCACACAGCAACCTGATTTCACACTGAGGATCAGTGTTTCTTCTGAAAGCAGGTGCTTGAGAAGCTGTTCTTCAAACATGAAGCCCCAGTTGACATGATAAATCCCTCTTTTCCCTTCTTTCCTAAAGGAAAACAAAGCCACAATGAACTTGGGCACTTTGCTATGTCCCCCCAGCAGAAATGTTATGGCTCATTTGCATATATGATGAACAGTATTTCATTACTGAAAATAATCTGTACCAAAAAACTGCACCTGGCCAACAGCACAGGAGCAGCTTGCATCCTGATGTGATTTTAAATGGCTGAGATATTAAACCACTGAAAAACGGGGTTTATAATGGAAATACTGACAGACTATTAACTATAGCGGTGCTGCTCTAATAAATGAAATAGCCTGTCATAATCTCTAATTCATAAATATGCAAATACAAGGCAGAGGATTTGCTCCAAAGGATGTCTCTATAATTTTAACTGACCTTTACTGATACTAAATAAGCCTGTTGCTTCTGGTTTTGAGCATTAAACAGAAAGTACAAGGAATTCTGCCTCTGCATTCAAGGCCCACTCCAGCTCCCATAAGCACTCACAGCAAAACCCTCGCTCTCTTCCACAGAAAAACTCTGGCCCCAGAACCCCCCAAATGTGAGATGCCTGGCATTAAACTGAACTCTAGACTGTACTTGATTTCATTCTGTTCTCATCTGTGTTAATTATTATTACATTAATTCTTCTGTTTGGGAGAAATTAAGCACACATTTGCCCCATGTGTCAAAGAGCCTGACCTGCCAAAAAGCACTCACTTGTTCAGTGATAAACAGACCATCAACACACTGATATAAAAGTTGAATTTCAGCCAGTTTCCTGTTCTGGACCAAATGGAGGTAAATCCACCGACTTAATATTTAATAACCTAAATGTAATTTCTTTTTTGTGCCTCATATTGCACAGTAAAGAACTGGATGGCTAGCAGTTTTGCAGATTCCCAACCCCTAATTATTTTAAGCTATTCATCCTGGTATCTGTCCATTGATGCTCAGCCAAATTGCCAGCAGGGGAGAGATCTGTCCAATCCAGGAGCTAAATGAGTCACTGAGAGTCAATCTGTTTTTTTCCCTTGCTGCTGGGATTTCCTTGGGTCCTGGCCTCTCTCTGCTCCAATCACACACACACAGCTCCAGGCGTGGGTCCTCTTTGGCTTCAGCTGCCTCCTGTCTCCCCATGTCTGCTCTGCTCATCACAGCTGTTGATGGGTTTTCTCTGGCTGGCCACAGAAGACCAATACTTCCATCACACTGCTCCTACAGCTCTTGCTCTGAAGGAAAATGAAGACATCTTGGCCTTGTTGAATTTGCTGCTGAAGTAATACGTCAGGTATCTAGATGGGAAGCAAACCACATGAATAAAATGTGTCATCTGGGTTAGATACTAATTTATTTGCCTTAAGTTCTCTGGGAACAATATTTGCACTTTTTCCAGAGAACTCGTCTAAGTTCCATAGAAACCAAATACTAGTTTGACTTCTGCAGCATGGAAAACAAATATGAAACAGAGAAAAAATAGACTCATCAGAAATATTAGCTTCTCAGTATTAAAATGTCTGACAATGCCACAAATACAATCTATAAACAGGAACATTTAGAGCCTAACTATTCACTAAGAAGCAAATTCCTTGCTTCTTCCCTTTTAGGGTCAGGATTCAATTACACAAAAATATGCAGACTTAAGGACTGCATGTAAGATTAAGATAACTGGTATTTCATGGTAAATGATTAAATTAGCTGACACAGTTTTATCCTGAACTTTGCCATTAAAAGTGACATTTTTGTGCCACGCACACTGTAGGCTGCTGGTAATCTAAACTGCCTTTCTTCTTTCAAAGACTTTAAATAGCTGAAGAACTCTTGTTCTTTACTCTATTTGCAAATGTGTGGAGAATATATCCACATCGTAACAAGAGGAACTAAGCACAGGGCTTTTTTTCCCCCCTCTTTTTCCCTATTATACAAATACCTTAAGAAAACAGCAAGGAAATTCCAAGTGCCCAGATTCAGCTCTGCAACATGCCCTGTAATCAAGTCATTTATGTGACCCCATAGAGATGAGACATGCTGTCCTCCTCATGGTGAGTAAAAACAGAGAAATGACAGAGGCCTTTCACTAAAAGTTTAATTATTCCTAGTATACAATTGTAAACCACTCTATGTTTTATTCCTCTTTGCTTTCAGGCTTGCTTTGTTATGATGGAAGGGAGTTATGGGAATAATTTTGACAGAGAACAGAATGAGGACTGGAGGGCTGAAATGTCAGAGCTGGTGGTTGTAGTCACTACCTTTCAGTTAAGCTAGCTGGGAAGGATCAACTCAGCTCCTCTGTGAAGCTCCTCGTCCTTCAAAGCAAAGTGCTGCACATGTCACTGCACAGAGCAAGGCAAGGCCTGTTTGATGAGACACCCAAACTATGAGAGAAGCTTATCTTCTAAGTATTGCACTAAAAGACCACCAGAGCTGGGTGGGAAGAAAAGCCATAGAAGCACTGCAGGAATGAAGAAAGGTGGCATGACACGCAGGCAGTGCATCCCTGGGAGAGGCCACGGAAGACTCTGGCTGGAAAAGGGCACACAGGCAATGGGAGATAAAATTCTTCAATTCTTCTTGTGGTTTGACTTGTACTGTGGTCAGAAAAATGGATCTTTGTCCATAAAGTTCAAAAGAAGTAGCTCTAACAATACAAAAACACACGGACCACAATACTGGTCCAGAACAGTGGTCCAGCATGTCCAGTCTTTCCTTATGCAAGATTTCTCATTTGAAAATGATGCAATAGAAATTACAATTATTATAATAGAATAATTTATGTGAATCACAGAATGGTTGGGACACTTAATTCTCCACTCTCAGGCTCTGAAAGTTGGAGCTTCATGAAGAAGTCATGCATGCATTATATCATACTTCTTTCTGGGCAACGGCTCAAAGGTAAAAAAAGTCTCCAAACACTGACTACACAATTTGGAGGGGTAAAGATAAGTCTCTATACTTCAGCTTTTAGTAACCAAGGGCTCTGCTGAAACAGGAAGCTCTACAGACACCAAAGAAATTGGGCGTTTATTCCAGCAGAGAATTTGACCCTTTATTCTTAGTGCAGACTTATCAGAGGTGTGCGCATAACAGGAATGCTATGGCAAAGTTTCTGGATTCCTTGTTAACCATAAAGAGTTGAGCAAGACTTTGGACTCTTTCTCACATCTTGGATCTTCTATCAGTTCTAATAAAGAAGAAGAAACACAGCTTTTCTCACAGCACCTTCCCCATGAGTTAAAGACTGCAGTTATACCATATTCACACAGTCACACCACTATCATAAAAGGATGCCTTTCAGTGGAAAGAGTTTCATTGTTCAAGAACTCGTGCAAATGCTGAACAATGAAACTCAATCTGATTATCAGAAAATCAAACCTGACCACCTCACAAACTGTGTTATTCAATTAAAACTTCTCAGCTCTCCTACATCATTTCTTGGCTTTTACACATTGTGCAAAAGACAGAGCTACTTTTATATCTCTTTGTACATTTTAAACTTTGAAAACCTTTCAGAGCAGAGGTTATATGAATCATCTAGCTTTTCCAATTCCAAAATGTTTCACTGATCATTCATTATTAACTGAGTAAAATGAAGATAGCTGTGATAAATTTTGATCTCTCTCAAAGTAGCAGAAAGGATATGAAAACATCTTGCTCATAGTACTAACTTTTAGATGACATATGAGGGTACAACCCCGTTTTTTTTTCCACTGTCACATACAACAAGGCTCTTAATAACCCAATCACTTGTTATTACATTATTCCCCTTCCTAGGAACTATTTCAGCCCGGTCTGCCATTTAGCAGAAATGGATTCAAACAACATAACCATGATAGGACTGGTTGCTGGTGACAGGAAGCCTGTCCATGTCAGAGATTAGGAGCCTAACTAATGTCTAGGGTTTTTCCTAGTTCATGTATGTTCTCTAAACATACATACATACATGTCTTGATTTGAATGCTCTGGGAAGAGAATAAGAAGTCTGTGACTGCTCTTAGATCTGGGAGTGATGTTTTCCAACACATCTCAGTAACTGGTGCTCTTTTACTAAATATACTGCAGTATTTAGTGTACTAACTGTACACAAAACCTGAAAATACCAGGAGAAAACAGTCCTTTTCAGGCAGCTCAACACAGGAACGAAACACAACCTAGAGAGGAACCATACTAACCCAGGAATAAAGATGGAACTGGCTCATCTCAGTGAGTCAAGATCCTGGATACATCTTGCTCCTCGTCCTTCGGCTGTCCAGAGAGATGGACTACACTGAAGTTAGAGGGGCTGTTTGAGATGCACTCCACAACTATTTGTTGTGAAAAGCCATTATACTATTTTACTCATTTAAACTGCTTTCAGTCTCACCATAGTCCCTCCCAGCTTGGCTTCTCCAGGGTCAGGCCTATGTGTAAGGGAAGCAGATGGGGACAAGAGCTGTGCAAAGCTGGTCATGGGCTTAAGAAAGGCTTGATTCTGTACCAATAAAATCAAGGGGAGTATGGCTCCTGTTTGCAATGGGAGGTGGATCAAAGCTTTACGCCAGCTGTTCCCTGCTGGGTAGGGATAATCCCTTTGAAACAAAATATTTAACTTGTTCTCACTCTGTTGTAAGAAGGCTTCCCATGATAATGCTTTCATGAGAATCAATAGGTGTGTCCCATTTTTGCTTCCAAATACCCCTGTTCCTGTAGGATGTATTTGCTCATCCTAAATTTAACACAAAAACTCCCAACAAACCCAAACAAAAAGGGTTTCCCAAAGAGAGGATTCTGCTATTAACCATGTGGGTTTACAGAAAACACCACAGCAATGAGTTACAGGGTGGATCATCTGCTCATTCTGCTGGCCATGACAGGACCTCTTGCTGTTTCCTCAGCAAGAAGATGCAATAAAGGGGCAGGTTTATTCAAACAGCTATAACTGAGGTGGGATCCCATGGTCAGAAATAAAAAGCTGAGGTCTCAGCAGGCAAATAAGATGATAGAAAACATAACTTGTCAACAGTCATGAAGGGAGTAATGAAGAACAGAGCGTGGGAACAGCATTAGAAAGACAGGAGCTATGGGAGGACAGGATTAACAGTAAGATATGTGTCCTGCAGTCTGGATCCAAGCATAGCATTTAGTCTCACTTGCTGTTCCTGTGTTTTGGTTTTATGTTTTGTAGGGTAAATGAGGTTCTGAAAGATAGCTGAAGCTGCCCAGGATGCTCTACAGGTCAGCAGCACACTGTGGCTACTTCTAGTCCCTGCAAGTTAGGTTCAAAACCAGTCAAGTTCAAAACCAGTGTGAAAGTTGGGCCCGTTTACAGCAGCTTTCAGTCCAGTTCACTCCCTCTTGCCCCTCTGGCTGAGCTCCATTTGGCTAACAGACCTGGAACATAAAGTCTGCTCAGTTTTATAAAGCTATTATTTAATTTAAAAAGTCTCCTCCATTGCATTCTAATGAGATTTCCATAAAATACTGAGTCCTTCACATCCTCTTGGGAAATTCTGTTTACTCCATAAACAAGGATACTTTTGAAAAGCTCTAGAAGACTTCAAGGGAGGAAACTTCCAGAGACGTTGCTGCTTGGTCTAGCAGCCGGGAAGTGAGCTTTCTATAGAGTTACATCCCCCAGAAGCAGGAATGTATGGAATCATTTGAGCTTAAGAGGCTGTGTCATCTTTATAGAAGGGAAGGAGAGACTGAGAGATGCAGTGACAGAGCCGGGAGCTGCATCTGGCTGGCTGTTCCACGGAGCATTCTCCTTATAGATTTTTATGGTTCTTTTAGCCCTAATATTAAACATTTGACCTTTTTGTCAAACACTATTTTGGATTTTTAGGTTGGATGATTAGTTACTAAACATACCATCTGTAGTAAACAGGAAACTGTAGTCTGATGCTTCAGTTTCAGACCTTTCAGGTATTGCTCCCTTGGCATTTCACATTAGAATGCTGAGCTCTCCTATAAGTCACTTGGTAAGCAAGAAGTGCATAGCATTTTCACACAAGGCACAGGGATTCCTGAGGTAGCACTACTGAGAACAGGGATTTCTCCTTTCCCTTGCCCTGCTAAACTGGTAGCTTTAAGGAGAATGCTGTAAGCATTATGAAGCCAAGTGTAAGCAGGAGCCAGCTCCTGCCAAACAATACAACTTAGTTTACTGCCTACAAATAAGTGCATTTACCTTTTAAAGTTCTGTAAAGCAGCATTTTGCAAATGACTGCCCTGTGCCTCTCTCCCCAGTGAACTCTTCCATTCATACTTTCCCCTCGTTTCCCCTGTAAGCAGAGTACAGTGTTGGAAGCAGAATTAATCATTTGCTTTTCCACTCCTCCCTCCCAGCACCTTTGTACCCCCGTTTAGGAAACAAATGCTGTAAACCTAACCCCTCCCTCCCATAAATCCCACCTCAAATATTTGGATTTAAAGGTATGTCGTTACAGACAGCATGACCCTGAACTTGTGAATATTTCTAATAGTTCTGGAAGACAAAAAAAGATCCAAATTCTTCCTGGAACTTGAAATGGTTTTAAGGAACAGAGCAAAAAGCTAGTACAGAAACATCTATCACCCTTAAGAGGACAAACTGCAGAAGAAAAAAAAAGAGCCTTATTAGTAAACCACAGTGTTTAGCATATTTAGAAGAGGACCCCATGAAGTCCATGGAACATACTTATAGTATACTAATTCAGCTTGAACATAGAGAGGTTTGAGATTTGGGTAACTGACTCCTGACTCCTGGTAAGTGACAGAACTGCTTTATTTTTCAGCGGACTGGATCTGGTTCTGATCTCAGTCCTGAAATATAAGACTGGTACAGCTTCAGTCACTTCAGGAGAATCATTCCTGTCTGATACTAAGGTTACAGCTGCCCTATTAGATTTAATAAAACCAGCTGCTCTAAATCCTAGCATAAATTTCCTCTTTGTTATTACAGGATGGTACTTGTTATCCAAGCAAAACCCGAGGACTCGGCTGTTCACATGAGCAGTGGATGACCAGACCAGACTTCAGGATGGGCCTCAAATTCGCAGAGCTGTAATTCTATTTTCTTTGATTATACACTAGTGTGCTGGAGGCAGCCTACGCTCAAAGCAGATAACCCTACTCTTTGCCATCTTAGCAATTAAAACAGGTGTGTTTGAGAATGACAAGAACTAGGAAAAAACATTTAAAAGCCCAGCCCTTCTAAAAATCACAGTGTCCAAACGGTTAATGAACAGTGAATTTCAGCTAGGAGCACCACCATGCTCCTCCAACTGCTGTACGCTTTTGACTTTAATAATAATAAGAAAAAGATATTACTTACGCTGGAGACACTCCGCTGCAGTTAAAGCATGGTTATTTAGCAAACAATTACTTCCAAAATAAACTGTTGAAAACCTGCTGTGCTCCAGCACCTGCCAAATTGAGTTCCTCCCATCTCCCCTCTTTCCAGATGCCCTCGGTGTTGCTTACTTTACCTCTTGGCACACACCGTTGCAGTGACATGTGATGAGGTGAGACTTAGGGCAGTTCCTAGTCATTGCTTCCAGAACTGGAAAGAGCTGGGACTCCTCCACAGTCCTGAACAACAGCAACCTGCAGTGGAGGAGCTGCAGCAGCTGAGAATTTGCTCCCCAGGCATCACACAGATACTTGCTGATTTCAGAAAGTCGCAGAACAAGCCTGGTTGCAGGCATGGCAATCCTACCTGTTAGGTGCTTCATTACAGAAATGTGTGTTGGAAGACTTGGACGTTCATTCCTTGATTACAAGATGTGTCTCTACAGCACAGGGCAACACTGAGAAAGCTTTTCTGGCCTGATCACATGAACCAGCACATTCCTGTTTAACCTAGTGCTGTGCTCCCCACCTGCTTCAGCTACCTTTATACCTCAAATAAGTTTACATGTGCCCTATCTGGAGGTCTAACCTTCAGAAATCTATAGGCAAAGTGGTAATTGATTCAAGTGCTCTTTATACACATATCTTGACTTAAGTATAGGCAGTCTTTGGCCATTTTCAGCTCCCATATAAGCCCAAGAAGTAAGATCACTATCAATGGATATCTGGGTCCATTGTTTTTTATTACATTACCAAACCTTCTTGCTAAAGAAAAAGAATTCTAATTCTGTGTCACTGCAGTATTGCCTTGACCCTTGAAGTCCATGGAGCTCTTCCAGGACTACATGAGTGCAGAGCAGAGCAAGAATGTTAAAACAGTTAGGATGCTGGTGCTTAAAAGAGAGAGGTGTATTTAGTATAATGCTCTGGACTGAAGATAAAAGAGCAGTATATACATAAGGCAGTTTCAAACCATGATAAAATTTGCCATCTTACCCACTTATGTCCTTATGTTTCTAGTCTGTATGGCTTATCAGAGGACTTCTGGAGTAGCATTTCATGTGCATTAATTCCACTAGCTATATCCATGAAAAGCCACTTCTAAATCACTGCTACATCAGTGAGATTTTCCCAAATAGGTAGAAATGAAATAATGGAAGTTAAACACAAAGTCCATAGCAGGAAGTCAGTAGCAGAGCTACAAAGAGTATGCCAAGGGTCCTGGCACCTAAATGCAGCAGGCCATACCTTGACAACTCCTCCAGCTGAAAACTACTCCAGTTATTTAGCTGTCAATTACAAAGCAGGACATAAAGGTTTTCTCAGCAGTTAGTGGACATTAGACAGTTATCTGTAGAAAATCATGTAATTCATTCTCAGAATTGAATTAGGAAACAACTGGATTTCCCAAGTACTCCAAAGCATACCATGACCACTCTCCCCCTTCTTTTAGTTGAAGGACTGTGTTTCTCAGCACACCCAACAACACCAACTGACTCCCACATGTACCTCAATACCAAAATCTCTCTCCTGACAGCAAGGGAACTATTCCACATTTACAACTGCCTCCAAGGAGAAATCAAAATCCAGATTCCATCTCTAGAAGACCATTTCCCAGTTACACCATTTCAACTTTTGTTCTCATACTGCATGGTTTTCAAGCACAATTTATCAATTGTGATGTATTTTACAACCTCCCATAGTCAATCAGGCTTGTAGATGTTTGCCCTCCTCAGTATTTCCCACACAGTTTAAATGGTTTTAGTTGGTATGGAATAAACACACAGAGATACCTGATATAAATCATAATGGCCTTTGGCCAAGACACAGGTTTAGCTGTGGGCCTGTTCTCCTATGGCTAACCACCTTTTTTCCATTACATCTAGCAGAAAGGATAACACAGGCTACATTTGGAGCAGCAGTTTCCTTATAAATCAGGCTAAAACACAGGGGCTTCGTTTCCTCAACTAGGATCTTCAGGTCTGCACTGCAACCAGGCATGTCCCAGGCACCATCTGCCTGTCTGTGCAAATGTCAGCACAGTCACTCCACTATAGCCAGGATGCCTTGAGAAAACAGTCATGCTCAGAAGGTCTAATCTCCTTGGTCACAAATTCTTAATGATAATTATAATGGGTCCGTAGCTCCAAGAAATGAGAACATACATATATAAGGACAGAAAATCAACACATGGGAAGTGTAAGGTGTTATAAATATAGTTGCTGGCATTAACACAGTGTGCTGTATTCTGAAAAGCAAAGCATAGCAAATATGTCTCTTTAAAACACAAAAGCAAAAACTTTGCCTTTACACATTGATGTTTCTAAGCTATTTATGCTCAGGCCAGCTCCTGTCAGCTTGTCACAAGCTGTGCATTTTCATTGCAATCTACTGCCCAGCATCACTGCAGCTCAGCTGGCATTTATGTTATGAGAAAACAAGATGGATTTCACTAATTTGCTTCACTCCTACCCCCCATCAATTCCTGTACAAAGAACCCCCTTTAACTTTGGAACGTTGGTGGGATGGTAGTGGTGGGCCAAGAACGTGCCACTCATCCAGCTCCTCCTCTTGCTTAGGCACCTGTCAGCCCCTGTATTTTTGGTGTAAGATGCATCATTTCTCAGGCTGGAACATCTTACGGGAATGGTTTCTGTCTTGTCCACCAAATACCACAGCAAGGAAGGGAGAAATGTCAGACAGATGTACTAACAGAGCTCTGCTTTGAAACATCTTCCAGTGGTGCATGTGGGGCCTCCAGGACACCTTCCCTGTGGTAACGTTGAAATGGCTGAGGAAGGTGAGCTAACCAGATTCTAGAGTGCTTATTTTACTTCTATTATTACAGCTGAGGCATGCGACAAGCATATATAGTCATTTCAGTGTGGTTCTCTCATCACTGATGACAGAGAAGAAAGAATGCAAAACCTGAACAAACCAATGATATGTTTTTTAAATAAGAAGCAAAGACTTTTCAAGACTAGATACCATATAATTCACTATTAGCAGATCTGTATACCAACCAAAGATGTATACCAACAATGCATTCTCAATGAATGCCTGGGCATTTAAGCTAAAGCTTGTTTGGCACAGTGCAGGTTAGAGCTCCAGATGGATGTAAGCCTGGGGGGGAAAGACATGTCTGCCTACAGAATAATTGTTAATACTGAAGTGAGATTTTGTATCTTCTCCCCCATCCTGCATCTCTATCAATGGGTTCTACCCTCCTTTTTTCACACTGGGGTCACATTGCTTCACCTGTTACTTCCACTGGATGACTAAACCAACTAAGCAATTACCTATTTGTCCCCCTACATATACATTTGTTCTTCCAGTTAATAGGCAGATTATAGGTAATGAATAGTGAGGTTAGCAATTTTACAGGAAAGGTGGGAAATTCCTGTCATGACATGGTTACATGACTCCATACAGACCTATATACATACACAGACATTCTTTAATACAGTATTTTAACTTAATATTGATAATTCTCCCTGTGCTTTGACACTTCACCTGAGTCAGACCAGAGTCCAGACATGATGTCTGCTTCCTGTTTGCTGTTACACATTGCTGCTGTGGCAAAATGGCTGACAAGGGAGAAGAAAGCCTTTGAAGTATTCTGATAATCTCTGTCAAGAAGATCCCAGAAGCACGGATAAATGATTCTTCTTTAACAGCCTTGCAATTTAGAGTACCAAAGGGTTCATTGCTGTTACCCTTCTTATGCAAAACCCATATGAAACCACTAGAGCATATTGCGAAATGGCATAGGCTACAATGTCATCAATATCCTGACGACACCAAGCTCTATGTCTCCTTTTCATTGAAGCCATATGTTACAGCTTCCTTGTGGCTGGCAGAGATAAGACATGGATGAAAGCCAGTTGGCTGAGCTTTTTCTAGATAAGATGAAGGTAGTGTATAGGTTTGGCAAGGGAAAAGTGTTTTGAGTTGACAAAAATCTGCTTTCAAAGTTGAGGGAGATTCCCATTGTCAAAATGCACGTGGGATTTACTGCCTCCTACCTCATCCTAGAGCCCCGGCTACAAAAGTGACCCAGATCCATTTGTCTCTTGCTAGACGATACGAGGTGCTCGCTGAGTTTCAGTGACCAGTCTGTTGTTGGCCAGGCTCACAAGGTTAATGCAGACCCTACTATGCCTTTGTCATTACTTTCAGATGTCATTTAGCCTATTCATAAAGATGTCCAGTGACAAAGACTCTACCCCTTCCCTATCTACTGCTGTATGCCACCAGACTCCTAGCAGAACACCAAATATTTCTCAATGATTAACTGACATCTTTCTTACTGCGACTGAAGCCTATTGGTACTTACCTTCTCTCAGAAATGTGAGAAAGGATTATTCTCCTTTTCTTTGGAGCTGTGTTTCTCATGCAGTTGAAAACCTACATTATCTTCTTTAAGACTCCTCTTGTTTAGGTTAGAAACCTCCAGATCATTCAATCTTTCCTTGCAGATCAATTCTTTTTTTTAGAGATCTGATTATTATTTTTGATCTCTTCTCCAGCTGGACTGTATTTCTTGAAATGCAAGCCCCAAAGGAGGTCACAGTAAATCAAGTGACTTTTTAAGGTTCTATTAGATATAGATAGGCAGCAGCACTGTTTCTGCTCCAGGCCCTTCTGGCATATTTACTGGGTGGAGGATCTTTGGTTGTTATCTCTTCTGTAATATGATAGTATGCAGCTTACCAGCACTCAGCCCCCACCAACAAAATTACTCTTACATAGGTCAATGCAAACCAGATAAATTCTACTCTCATTTTGTAAATTCACAGAAACATTTTGGGTAACATCAGGTTCCTCTAAGATGTCCACCTGTTCTGCCTACAGTTCAGAGCTCTTCTCTTAATTGTTAAGCCTCCCCCCATCACATCAGCTTTCTTTGACCTTAGTTAGTCCCACCATTAAGTGGAATCTTTCTGCTATAAAGCATTCTGTCCTGATGCTCTCTCAGGTCCAAAGCTGCTGATTCTTCCAAAAGCTTGAATCCTTATTTCTCCTTTCAAGGCCTTTCTTTAGTACTTGCAGAATTTTCCCCTCTCCACTCCCCCTTACCCCCCAAATGGAGAAGCAGGGGGAATTAATGTTCTCAGCCCATTTGACTAGATGATCGCTGGGGTTAATAACCCACCACTATCCCTTGGCTGGCTGGCATGGGACACAGTCCTGTCAGGTCTGCAATGCAGCCTTTCCATGCGCCCAGCCAGAGGCCAAAAACTGGATATAGCCACATGTATCCACCAGCTATGACAAGACTGCCCTTAGTCATGTTGCACTGGTGAGAGAAATGGGTTCATCCCTTTCAGATGCACACTTCATCATTTGCATATGCCTTTTGTATTTTATTTCCACAGTACTACACTGCCACTGCAGGACTATTCTGGAAGCACAGAGCATGATTTCTGAGGAGCTTTGACTAATACAGGATAAGGCTGCTTACTCTATTCCAGCACAGAGAAGAATAAATTAAAAAGGAGAAATTCCATGTGTTCTCCATACTTTGCATGAGCTGCCAAAAACATGCTGGCCCGAGTACGCCTGGCTTTCTTCAAGGAAAGAGAGTCAGGGACATATTCTCTAATTTGGGCAAGGTAGGTCTGTAGGCAGAGCACTGCACCTATTGGCAAGACT